AGGTACTGTGTCACCACACTTAATAACTTCACAATTCAGTACCACAGTTTAAAAAAAAAAAAAAAAGGATGCCTGCCAGCAGACTATCTGAACTAACAATGTTAAATGCTGAATATACGTGGTTCTGTGAAAGTCAACTGGCATCTTTCCACTACATTCCAAAGAAGGAATGAGAAAAATTCTTTCGTGAAACCAGGACCAACCACTGATATTAACACCAGAGACTGTGGAGGCTCCTGTAATCTTGATAGTAACCTGGTAATACAAATGATAATGATTCAGTAGGGAAAAAAGCTAAAATGTATTTTGAGGGGGGTTGTGATCACTCTCTGATTAAGTCAGCATTCGTGTCTACTTGCTGGAGACTGCTTCAAATTTAAGGAATGGAATGCTGTTCTTTTTTACATGTAATAGTAGTTTTCATCAAAAAAAAAAATTTACAGCTGCATTTTACTTTACATTCCATTTCTGACACAGATACTTTGAATGAATACATTTAAAACGTATTTGAATGACCAAAGGATAAAAATATCCTTTGTTTCTGGTTCAGAATAATTCAGTCTGTCATCATGGGGGAAAAAAAATGAATTAACACTTAAAAAATAGGTTAATGGAATTAGAAATTTGTCTTCCTGTTTCATGTTGCCCTGTCTTCCAGTCCACTTAGCAGAAGAATTTCAGATGCAATTCCCCTGAAAGCTGGAGATTTAAGAGGCTGACGGGCAGTTACTACTACTCTTGTTACGAGGCTGATTCTATTCAGTCTATCTCTTTAAAAAGGCTTATTGTTGTTGCTGTACAATTTCCTGACTTTAAAGTGGGGGGAGAAATCAAGTGACACAGTAACCAGAAGAGAAGAGCATGCTGGGATGATTTCTGCAGCCATTCCCCAAGAACTGCTGTCCTCTTTCAAGATTCAAAAATCAGGGGCGCCTGGGCACCTGGGTGGCTTAGTGGGTTAAAGCCTCTGCCTTTGGCTCAGGTCATGATCCTAGGGTCCTGGGATCGAGCCCTGCAACGGGCTCTCTACTCGGCGGGGAGCCTGCCTCCCCCTCTCTCTGCCTGCCTCTCTGCCTACTTGTGATTTCTGTCTGTCAAATAAATAAATATCTTTAAAAAAAAAGATTCAAAAATCATACAAAACCGTTCTTCTGTATTTCTAGTGAAAAAATGAGCACCAACTTTGGAAATTTGGGTGAAGCCAAATGAACTCAGGACTGTTACGAAACTGTGTGACACACTTTGATCAACATAAAAGTCATGCCAACACAAATATACCACAGTAATGTCACTGTGAGAGCAAACCTGAGTGGGCCAGGCAAAGAGGCGCCAAGACATAAAAGATGTCAAAGCGTTAGTGTATCTGAAGAAAAGCCAGACGCCTTTCCCCAGAAATGGCACACTTTCCCCTCTTTTGCACATATGCATAAATCCCCTACGCACAGAGAAGTCTTACAAACATACTCTTATTCTTTGGCGAAGCTACTTAAAAATTAATGAACAAGAAATTAAAGAGAAGCTGCTGTTATCAAGTTCGAAGACCCTCCCTGAAAAACAATCACAAGGAAAACATTCACACTCCCAGAGAATTCAACACGTTTCCAGGGATATTTCATAATATGATTTTTTAAACAATGTTTCCTTCTTATTACTGAGACTTCAACGCTGCAGGTTTATTTACATTCAAAAATACATATTTATTAGAGTAAGAGCTTTAGTTTCTCAGAAAAAGAACTTTGTGACTTAAAGTAACACGTTGAATACTTAGATTTTCCTTCAAACACATTTGTATGCTTCATCTTCCAACGAAGAGGATTCGTTTTCGACTATATAGAATGGACAGAAAATTGTGGTAGTATTAATTCATTCTTGGAATTTCACCAGTCAGACCTCAGAGACATGTAGTTCTTTGCAGAGAACTGGAAAAATGCCAACAGTTTCTGAATGTGTTCTCTGCTCTTTCACTTTCCTCCCCCTCCTCTCAAAACTATATTCGTCTCTCACGGAAGTGAAAGCAGCTCCTTCCATGCTTATCCTGAATGAGAGATCCTTCTCTAAAGAAAGAAAAGTGACTTCCTAGTTTTGGATATTTTGTCAAATAAAACCTCAACAGTATTTGAGAGACAACTTGAGGACTTCCACTAAGAAAAATCCCTTCCGGGGGTGCCTGGGTGGCTCTGTGGGTTAAACCTCTGCCTTCCGCTCAGGTCATGATCTCAGGGTCCTGGGATCGAGCCCCGCATTGGGCTCTCTGCTCAGCAGGGAGCCTGCTTCCTCCTCTCTCTCTGCCTGCCTTTCTGCCTACTTGTGATCTCTGTCTGTCAAATAAATAAATAAAGTCTTAAAAAAAAAAGAAAGAAAGAAAGAAAAATCCCCTCTGTAGTGACTGGTTCAGCCTCGACAGACTTGAACTGTGCAGATGTTGAAGCGGCTCTCGAGAAACTAGGGAAGAAAGGAGACATTCCACAGCTGCCTACCCCAGCCTTCTTCCCAGGGGCACGGGTGCAGGCTCTTTCAAGCTCAATCACTTTGTACGGCAACTGGGATCCCAGGCAGGGGCAAGGAATCCCAGAGCAGCTTAGATTTCTTCCAGAACCTCAGCAAGAAGTAAGACCACTTAAAGAGTAACCAGTTATTTCCAACAATTATGTGGCCCCAGGCCAAAAAAAAGGGATGAAGTAGGGCGCCTGGGTGGCTCAGTGGGTTAAGCTGCGGCCTTCGGCTCAGGTCATGATTTCAGGGTTCTGGGGTCGAGTCCTGCATTGGGCTCTCTGCTCAGCAGGGAGCCTGCTTCCCTCTCTCTCTCTGCCTGCCTCTGTCTACTTGTGGTCTCTTTCTGTCAAATAAATAAATAAAATCTTAAAAAAAAAAGAATTCTCAAAAAAAAAAAAGGGATGAAGTAGAACATCTGTGGTGAGGGAAATAAAAGAGGTATCATATTTTTAAGATTTCAAGCTACTTAAAGGAGATCTTCCTTGGACCTTTGTTAGGAAGAGGACTATGAATATTCGGTCTTTATTCCTCACCAATAGCTTTTTGCAGGGTGGGGGGCAGCGTGGCGGAGAGAGGATGGTCAAGCTGAAGAAACACAGAACTTAAAGAACAGTCAGTCCAACAACTGTAATGTAACCCACTCGCTGCAGGGTTTTAAAGGAATAAAAGATGTATGAGAGTAATATGTTCAAAGGTCCTACTTTCTTCCATTTTACCTTACTATACATTCTCACAAGCTCTTCTGAACATTTTCAAAACAAAATAAATGTGTTAACCATAGGGTGTAACTAAAACCAAGCAGTCAGAAAATATTCTTCCCGACTCAAGGATAACTAATGCTATGGCAGATGCCATTTCCCTAGGATCAATCAGAAAGGAAGGAGCTATAAAATACAGTTCCTTTAAAATAACACAAAGGTACAGATTACTATTCCCCACAAAATTATGCTTTTAGACTAATCATCTTTGAGGGTAGTGAAAAACAATATGTAGATGCATATTTCAGTAGTTTTTGTAGTGTCTGAATTTATAATACCATTACTTTCATTAATTCTTACTTGACTAGAAAATCATTCTTATACTTTCATATAAGCCCTTGCAAGAATTTACCAGATACAATAATGAAAACAATAATGATGATGTTAGAATTTTCGTGGGCTTGTCATGATTCAAGCACTATGCTGAGAGCTCATTCCCTCCATCATGATATTATCCCCATTTTAGTGATGAATAAAAGAAGAACTTTATAGATGAAGATGAATAATGATAGGCCAAAGAAAAGAAAACTTTTAAGGTCATTGCACTGGTACATGGGATAGCCACAATTTAAATTTTTTGACTCCAAAATCCATGTGCTTTTTATTACTATCTCTACTGACTCCATTGAAAATTATATTTGTATGTTAATTTGGAACATTCTGAGTATTTTTGAAATCAGTTTTAAAGGTTTATGCTACGTTGTCAAATCATTCTATTCAGGGCGCCTGGGTGGCTCAGTCAGTTAAGTGTCTGCCTGTGGCTCGGGTATAGTCCCATGAGTCCCAGGATCAAGCCCCACAGTCAGGTTCCCTGCTTAGCCGGGAGTCTTCTCCCTCTGCCCCTCACTCTGCTCATGCTCTTTCTCTCTCAAATAAATAAATAAAATCCTTTAAAAAAAATCATTCTATTCAGAGAAAAATAACTTCTCTGCATGAGATATTGGTTAAATCTCACATTGCTCATAATCTCTCTTTCTTCTCTATTGGTTTTTTTAATAGACAGAAAAAAGCTCATTTCAACCTACAGTATTAGTAATGCAATGATTCCCTGAATGTGTTCATATTCTAGGTATCCTAAGTCCGTGATACCTATTCTGTTTTAGCTTAACCCTCAAAAATACAAATCAAATAGCTAATAGACAATTAATTTTATGTTACAGAACAGATACTAAGGCATATTAACACTAAACAATGCCAGAAAATGTAGAATAAGAAAACTTGTTCACACTGATGATAAAATATCAAGTGAGAAAACTTCAAACCTCAAAAGGCCTTTGTTTATGGTGCAACAATATTCCTCCAAGACAATGCAATACACCACAACAAAGAGGAATATATGAGGCAGAAGTTGTTGACATATGGGGAGTGCACAGAATTTCTGGTTAATGGAAATTCCAAGATATATAAATAAAAGATGATGTGTGAGTTGGTGGAAAAAACTGTAAGGCAAGTCAATTTTTTAATTAAAAAATTATGTAGCATAAACAATGCTAATGAGCCAAAAGTCCCATGAGATGAGGACGGTATCTGCTCCATTTTAACATTCCACTCACTTTTCATAAGTGTACATCCACTCACTTGAAATACCTCAAGCAGAACCCCTTTCATAAAATAGGGTTTTGAGGATTTTCTTTGTCCGTGTTTTTAATAGCTCACCATTTCCATTCAAGTTGTCAACTTGATGATATATGACATTGCAGGGGGGGGAAGCCCTAAAAATCCTTAAATGAATCACCAGATGATAGATACCTGGGAGTTCCTCGTAAATTTCATCATCAGTTGGTTGGCTGCTTGCTGGTGGGCTGCTGGTTGGTAAGGGATGGTCAACATCATCATATAATTCTCCTCTTTCATCATCGTCTTCAGGAATAACATCAGATCCCATGTCTGAAAAATAGGTTGCACGAGGCAAATTTTTTAAGGATGCAAAACAGGTTTTCAAAACCCTATTTTCTAAACTGCTGCAGCCCAACAGAGTCACAGGCTATATTCTTAACTTGAAGCATTTTCAAAAACTGATTATTATATAAATATGTGAATTGCAAAGTTTCCAGTTGGTACTTAAAGAAAAAAACACTTTAATAAATCTGAAGTAAACAGTCTGTATCAGGACTAGCCATGGTACTTGGTCATTCTCATAGGAGTCATTAACGTTCCATATATGAAAATCCAAATTCATTCAGTTATTCAATATTTAAAGACTGCAGTGACTACTTCCATTGATTGCTCTTACCTTGTAATACAAATTTCAGCTGCTGTACCCATTCTTCAGCATCTTTGGTAGAAGCTGCTGTGAACTAATAAAAAAAATAAACAATAATAAGAAAAATCACCACGTGGAAATGAAAGGTATGTCGCATTCTTATCACTTCTTTACGGCCATTAGTAATTCTTTTCATGTCTGGTACTACTTTTCTTGCAAGGATGCTTCTTATAATGTACAGTTAATTTTGACAAATTTACGTAATTGAAGCAGAGGATGATGGATTTGAAACTCTGATCAGCAGCTGGCAGCTGTGCAGGAAAAAAAAGCCGCTTCTCTTCATCAATGTCAAAGACAGAACTGATGAACAAAATCTGCCCTTGACAATTAGAAGACACCCATGAATTTCTTTAGACTGCCAGGTACAGTTTTCTTAAAAATGTTCTTGTCAGATTCCAACACACTACCTGACAACTTAATTAACTGGCTTTCAACCGCAATCTTAGATATTTAAAACTTATTAAACATACATTCCATATTGATGCTGGCTGAGAGCTCCTGAATCACAGAGCTGATATGTGCCTTTACCTTCATTTGCTCCCACAACCCTAAGCAATACAATATGCATTAACACGCTGATATTTTTCTTTTGATAATTTTATTCTTTCCGCAATGTAATTCTTTCAAGAAATCACGCCGTGCTATTAAAATAGATATAAAATGCAACATGTGAAGTAGTTGATAAATTATATATTCGTTGTTCTCTTTCGAGAGAAGATATCCCTTGAACTAATCTGAAATTTTTTTTAAAAATCGATTTCTTCTTATATGAATGTTCATTGTATAAAATCAGTATCTTTTATTAACATGTCAGGGAGATCTGTTTTAACAAGACGTTAATGTCTTTATAAATGAAATCAGAACATTTTATCAACTTAATTTCCAAACAACACAAAAACTCCAACCTGATAGATACGTTTATCAGGAGCAGAGATTTCAAAACAGCAATCTTTCTTCCCATCCTTCCTGAGAGTGTTATTCATTCTGACATTGTAACCATCTATTGAAAATTCACCTTTCTGTTGCTTGTCTGTGGAAGATAAAATGAAAGTTAGAATTTCATTTACTGCAGTGAATATAAATGCTCAGTTGATTATCTTTTATTTAGATTTTCTCTGTCAATTCTTGGAAAGGGTATTTTTTTTTTTGGGTCATATTGTTTTCATAGTATTTAATGTTCAATAATGTTTCTAGATATCACTTCTAATTCTAAAATTATAGAAGTATTGGGATGGTTGGGTTCACAAAGGATATCTTAGGGAACGAGAGGAAGAGGTCCACAGAAAGCCTTATTCAGAAGAAAGCATGAAAATACAACACTTTGTTGTAGGGAAAATCCAAGAACTGGAACTCAGAACTTGCTGGACAAACCCACTCCAAATTCTTGACTGTCTCAGATTTATAAGCCAGAAGGAAAACCTGGAGCCAAAAACTCACTGGGCTTTTCTACCACCATCGCTTCTCATTACCACCTTCCAATACCCACCTCCAAAAACAGCACTTCTTTTAAAAAATATCTCCTAAGTTGGTACAATCTGAACTGTAAATTTAAAAAGCAGAGTCAAACAAAACTACTAAGTATAAAAAGCTATGAGGGGAAAACAAAGTATTTGGCTGGAGAGAGGAGGTAAAGCAAGAAAGGAAGCATTCGTTGCTGAAACAAAACCAAAGAAAAGTAGGTTTCTTAACCAGTCAGTGAATGGGTAAGCTACAAAACCATGTCTGAATCCCACAGGATGAGGAGGCAAAAGAAAAAAGACAAGTTGAGTTTTCGCCAGATATTATTTTAAAGACAAAGGAGGACTACAGCAAAGGACTTAATACTCTGAAAGTTGGGTATCCATCCTTTCTGATGGAAGCATAATACTCCATAGTGTATATGGACCATATCTTTATCTTCTTTACCCATTCGTCCGTTGAAGGGCATCTTGGTTCTTTCCACAGTTTGGTGACTGCGGCCATTGCTCCTATGAACATTAGGGTACAGGTGGCCCTTCTTTTCACTACATATGTATCTTTGGGGCAAATATCCAGTAGTGCAATTGCAGGGTCATAGGGTAGCTCTATTTTTAATTTCTTAAGGAATCTCCACACTGTTTTCCAAAGTGGCTATACCAACTTGCATCCCCACCAACAGTGTAAGAGCGTTCCCCTTTCTCCACATCCTCTCCAACACTTATTGTTTACTGTCTTGTTTACTGTCTTTGGCCATTCTAACTGGTGTAAGGTGGTATCTCAGTGTGGTTTTGATTTGAATCTCCCTGATGGCTAATGATGATGAACATTTTTTCATGTGTCTGTTAGCCATTTGTATGTCTTCTTTGGAGAAGTGTCTGTTCATGTCTTTTGCCCATTTTTTGACGTGATTATCTGTTTTGTGTGTGTTGAGTTTGAGGAGTTCTTTATGGAACTTGGATATCAGCCCTTCATCTGTTGTGTCATTTGCAAATATCTTCTCCCATTCCGTGGGTTGACTCTTTGTTTTGTTGACTGTTTCCTTTGCTGTGCAGAAGCTTTTGATCTTGATGAAGTCCCAAAAGTTCATTTTTCCTTTTGTTTCCTTTGCCTTTGGAGACATATCTTGAAAGAAGTTGCTGTGGCCGATGTTGAAGAGGTTACTGCCTATGTTCTCCTCGAGGATTTTGATAGATTCCTGCCTCATGTTGAGGTCTTTAATCCATTTTGAGTTTATCTTTGTGTATGGTATAAGAGAATGGCCAAGTCTCATTCTTCTACACATAGCTGACCAATTTTCCCAGCACCATTAATTGAAAAGACTCTTTTTTCTAATGTATATTTTTTCCTGCTTTGTCGAAGATTATTTGACCATAGAGTTGAGGGTCCATATCTGGGCTCTCTACTCTGTTCTACTGGTCTGTGTCTGTTTTTGTGCCAATACCACGCTGTCTTGGTGATCCCAGCTTTATCATAAAGCTTGAAATCAGGCAATGTGATGCCCCCAGTTTTGTTTTTCTTTCTCAATATTTCCTTAGCAATTCGGGGTCTCTTCTGGTTCCATACAAATTTTAGGATTGTTTGTTCCAGCTCTTTGAAAAATGCTGGTGTGATTTTGATTGGGATGGCAATGAAAGTATAGATTGCTCTAGGCAGTATAGACATCTTAACAATGTTTATTCTTCTGATCCATGAGCATGGAATGGTCTTCCATCTTTTTGCATCTTCTTCAATTTCTTTCATGAGTGTTCTGTAGTTCCTCAAGTACAGATCCTTTACCTCTTTGGTTAGTTTTATTCCCAGGTATCTTATGGTTCTTGGTGCTATAGTAAATGATGTTTTAGGTTTCTTAAGTGCCCAAAGACAACTCACATTTCCTGAGCTCCTTCCGTAGGCCCAGAAATTTAATAACTTATCTCATACATACCATGAAATAATTCTAAGAAAAAGAAGGTATTTATTACAACCCCAGCACTGATGGAAAAATAAACCTTAAAACAACCAATTTGCTCACAGTCACATAACCAGTAGACTGTAAAATCCAGGACCCTCACATAAGTGATTACAAAGCCTTTGTTTTTTTGCAACCATTTCACACTGCCTCCTAGAAAAATGTTTCTCCAAGTATATTTCAAGAATCACCAACTACATTTGATCTTAAAGGCCAATTAAAAATACCAGAAATGGCTACTACTTTGTACTTGCTTATGGAAATCTCTCAGGGTGGGTCCAGGAAACCAAAATTTGGGCAAGCATCCCAGGTGATTCTGATACACACTAATGTTTGAAAAACCACCATTCTAAAACATGCAATTTATGAAATCTTGGTAGAGATGAACATTATCTTGCTTTCCTCCTGCAACTTGGGTCCAACTTTCTTAGCTTGCTTTATGGGCTCCTCTACCTTTGCCTATCTCTTAAACAGCCATGATGCATCATATTCTAAATCTTCCCCTCTTACTGCTTCACAATTTTCTCTGGGCAACCTTGCCCAATCTAAGAATTAAATTTCTACCAGTATCTTATGATTCATAATTCCTTCTTTTTAGTTCAGCATCAGGATTTTATATCCAAATCTTCATTTGGTCACTACACATGTTTCACTTCTTTAACATCTTATGGGCACAATAAATATAACAGTCCCACAATGGAGATCATCTTATCCCCTCTCCCACAACACTTGTGATCTTTCTCATTATGAATCTCCTTATCAATCAATGGCACCTCCATTAACTGAAGGCTCCAACCCAGAAAACGGAGCATCATTCTTGATTTCTTCCTTTCTCTTCATCAACCGCCCCTACGTTCTCTCCCTCTACCCCATTGCCACCTATTTTTCCAATAAGTCCTATTTTTCTTTTAAACATGCTTGCTTTTCCTCTTTTTCACTGGCTCTCAGAAAATCTGCTTGAGGGGAGCCTAGGTGGCTCAGTCGGTTAAGTGTCTGCCTTGGGTTCAGGTCATGATCCTAGGGTCCTAGGATTCAGCTCCACATAGGGCTCCCTGCTCAGTGGGGTTCTGCTTCTCCCTCTCCCTCTGCTGCTTGTGCTCTCTTCCTTGTTAACTTGGCTTACTCTTCTCTCAAATGAATAAATAAAATCTTTAAAAAAAAAAAAGAAAGAAACTTTTGGTAACATCTGCTTTTTATATTTAAGATGGCCTTTCTCCTTAGTGAATAACTCTTGCTATTTCCATAAGTATTAATGCTTATTAGTAGGAAAAAGGAAAATATGCTCCTTAATACTAAACCTTTCCATTAAACTTCATCAAACTGATTAACAACTTGCTTTAGGCCCTCAGGTAAAAATATTTTTTCCTTGTTTGTACAGCTCCCAGAAATACAGATGCCAATGCTAATTCAGCCACTTGAAATATACTTCTGGCGTTTTGAGTTATACTGTGAGAAAATATCAAATTATTACTATTTTAAGTAAAAAATACTATATGCTATATATATATATATATATATATATATATATATATATATATATATATATATATATATGTTACTTGAGGGCCCCAAGTGGCTCTGAGTAATAAACACAGGCAATATTTATGAGTCCAAAGGGAAACACTTTAGTTAGAATTAACAGTGTGGCTTATATGATCTGATAGCAGGAAATTTTAGGTATTTCCAAAACCTTTTTTTCCCCCTTAAAAATAAAAGCACACTGCAAGCATAAAAATCAAGTGGTATTTGTACATATTTTCAACCACAGGTATAAACTTGGTTAAAAAAACAAGGTAGTATGAAGTAGCGGTGAATGGAGAATAAATAAATTACAGGCATGTTGTAGAATGGGAATTTAAAGCCCTGGTTTTTTTGGGGTTTTTTTGTTTTGTTTTGTTTTTGGCTATACCTACTGTTTTCTTCTACAACTGAAAATCAGATCATTATGATATGGCCTATTAGACTAACATAGCATATGGCTATTGTTAAGATAAACATTACACAGAGGGTCTTACTATCCTATACATATGATCCTCTTGGAGCCTCCCATGATCATTAGAGAATAGACAGCACTCCTGCTATTCACGCAAATGACAGGGGCTAAAAGTGTATGCAAGAACCCCCAGCTCCATCACGCGCAAACCACGCTGAGCAATCTCCCTGGGCTCTCAGCTTCAGCACACATCTTTCTTCCACTCTCACCTCCTCCTCACAACTGTCAACATGATTTTTTTTTTTTTTTTAAGATTTATTTGACAGAAAGAGAGAAAGCACACAGCAGGGGGAGTAGCCAAGGGAGAAGGGGAAGCAGGTTCCCCGCCTAGCAGGGAGCATCATGCCCTGGGGCTTGCCGGGACTATGACCTGAGCCAAAGGCAGATGCCCAACTGACTGAGCCACCCTGGCGCCCCTCCACACGATCTTTCCGACATGCAGTCGGAGTCGGTCATGCCACCTCCTCACCTTCCACGATCGCAAACATTCACTGTGCCTCACAGGAAAGGCCAAACTTCTGTCTGGGGCATGGAACAACCTGACGCCCCCCTTCCTGGCTCCCAAGCCTTCATTCACCTACTGTCCCAGCCAGCTGGCTCCTGCCTATCATCCCATTTTATGAGTCCCCTG